CTACGCACATGCAAGATCATGGTGATGCATAGCAACGAGAGGGGGAGAGTGTGATCTACGTACCCTTGTAGATCGACAACGGAAGTGTTAACTTGGTTGATGTAGTCGCACGTCTCCACGGCTCGACCGATCAAGCACCGAAACTACGGCACCTCCGAGTTCTAGCACACGTTCAGCTCGATGACGATCCCCGTACTTCGATCCAGCAAAGTGTCGGGGAAGAGTTCCATCAGCACGACGGCGTGGTGACGATCTTGATGTACTACCGTCGCAGGGCTTCGCCTAAGCACTGCTACAATATTATCGAGGACTATGGTGGAAGGGGGCACCGCACACGGCTAAGAATATGATCACGTGGATCAACTTGTGTCTCTAGGGGTGCCCCTTGCCTCCGTATATAAAGGCTCAAAGGGGGGGGGCTGGCCGGCCAAGAGGAGGCGCGCCAGGAGGAGTCCGGGAGTAGGACTCCCCCCCTTTCCTAGTTGGAATAGGATTTGCGGAGGGGGAAAAAGAGGAGAGAGAGGAGGAAGGGGGGCCGGCCCCCTCTCCTTGTCCTATTCGGACCAAGGGGGGGGGGGGCGAGGGGCGCGCGGCCCATCTATGGCCACCTCTCCTCTCTTCCACTAAGGCCTACTAAGGCCCATATACTTCCCGGGGGGTTCCGGTAACCTCCCGGTACTCCGGTAAAATCCCGATTTCACCCGGAACACTTCCGATATCCAAACATAAGCTTCCAATATATCAATCTTTATGTCTCGACCATTTCGAGACTCCTCGTCATGTCCGTGATCACATCCGGGACTCCGAACAACCTTCGGTACATCAAAATGCATAAACTCATAATATAACTGTCATCGTAACCTTAAGCGTGCGGACCCTACGGGTTCAAGAACAATGTAGACATGACCGAGACACGTCTCCGGTCAATAACCAATAGCGGAACCTGGATGCTCATATTGGCTCCTACATATTCTACGAAGATCTTTTATCGGTCAGACCGCATAACAACATACGTTGTTGCCTTTGTCATCGGTATGTTACTTGCCCGAGATTCGATCGTCGGTATCCAATACCTAGTTCAATCTCGTTACCGGCAAGTCTCTTTACTCGTTCTGTAATACATCATCCCACAACTAACTCATTAGTTGCAATGCTTGCAAGGTTTCAGTGATGTGCATTACCGAGAGGGCCCAAAGATACCTCTCCGACAATCGGAGTGACAAATCCTAATCTCGAAATACGCCAACCCAACATGTACCTTTGGAGACACCTGTAGAGCTCCTTTATAATCACCCAGTTACGTTGTGACGTTTGGTAGCACACAAAGTGTTCCTCCGGCAAACGGGAGTTGCATAATCTCATAGTCATAGGAACATGTATAAGTCATAAAGAAAGCAATAGCAACATACTAAATGATCGGGTGCTAAGCTAATGGAATGGGTCATGTCAATCAGATCATTCAACTAATGATGTGATCCCGTTAATCAAATGACAACTCTTTGTCCATGGTTAGGAAACATAACCATCTTTGATTAACGAGCTAGTCAAGTAGAGGCATACTAGTGACACTCTGTTTGTCTATGTATTCACACATGTATTATGTTTCCGGTTAATACAATTCTAGCATGAATAATAAACTTTTATCATGATATAAGGAAATAAATAATAACTTTATTATTGCCTCTAGGGCATATTTCCTTCAGTTGCAACTTTCCTCATCTCTTGGTTGCAGTTGTTTGTTGTCATTGGCCACAAAACTACACGCCGAAGATTGTAGCAAATAGCGACACCGGTTGTAGCAAAAAAATGATCTAGTTGTAGCAAAAATCAGCTGTGTTTCCAACTCGTTTATTGGTTGCAGCAAAAAACAACAGTGGTTCCAGCTCTGGATTTGCCCGGTTGAAGCAAAACAAAATGCTAGTTCCAGCATTGTTATTCGCTCGCTGGCATCGCAACCTTCACCGTGGTCATCCATGGAGACTCGTCGGCACGGCTTGGCATGGCGCCCCTGGCACGGTCCCAGCATCTCCGTCGTGGCGCCCCCGGCACGGTCCAAGCACCTCCGTTGCGGGAGAGTTTGTGCATCATGGTGCGGAGATTGAAAAAAAACTCAAGCGGTGGAGCCACTTGCAGGAGCGCTTCTAGAGGTAGGAGGTGATGCACTGTAGCAAATGAGTGAACCACGTTTGCTTCTGGAGGAGATAAGATAGGAGGGGTGATGGGCCTAAAAAATCCCTTGAATCACATCTCCCTAGTCGTTCGATCCAGCTGGATCGCGTGGCCCCCGCGCGACCGGCGGAAGACTCGGCCGGTGCGCCGGGTATAAACATTTCCCCTTTCGGAAACCCTTAGTGCTTCTCCAAAAGGCGACTAGGGTTCCGCGGACCTTGACGGCGGCCGCGGGTGAGATCGGCAGGCCGCACCAAGGATTGCCGGCCGGAGATGGCTTCACCTTCCGTGCATGGTGGCGGCAAGGGGACAGGAACTACGTCGCCCAAATCGACCAGGGCGCGGCTTGAGGAACAGCTCGAGAAGTTGGACATCTTCGAGGAGGAGGCAACACCGCTGGTATTGGACGATCGTGTCGAAGGAGCGCCGAAGAAGTGGATGATGGAGGGGAAGGTACTTAATCACAATATACTCCACATCCAAACCATCTCCAATATTCTACGTCCTGCATGGGGGAACCCTAAGGGGCTGACCTTCCGAAGCGTTGGGGAAAACACCTTCGTTGCAGAGTTCGCGATGCAGCGGGATCGAGATCGTCTGTGGGAAGGATCCCCTTGGCATATTAGTAAGAATGCGGTGATTCTTTCAGAATTTGATGATTGTATGTGCCCGTCAGAACTCAGATTTGAAAAACTAAAAGTCTGGGCGAGAGTTGTCAATCTCCCCTTCAATTTGCGTAATGAAGAGTGGAGCAAGGCAATAGCAAAACAGATTGATAAAAAGGCTAGCTCTATTCACTTTGATCATGGCGGTGGCTACCTGCGTGCAAGGATAACTTTGGATGTAGCTAAACCGCTAAGGAGGTGGATACTTATTGAGCCCGCAAGGCGAGGAATTACAGATCCGTATGACATCCAATATGAGAATATTCCTCACTTTTGTTTTTCATGTGGTCGCCTGGCCCACTCTGATCTTCTTTGTCTGACGCCTAGAACCAGAGACAAACATGGCAATCTTCCATTTGGAAAAGGCCTCCGGCCACCGGATGAAAGGAAAAAGACTGCATCTAATGAGAGCTCCTCCAATACTCAGCAGACAAAATATTAATTATATTGCACATTAATATTAAGCTAGATATAAATTGCATAATAATGTTAGATAGGGTATAATTACTTGGTTAATGCTGACCGTCGATACCATTGGGCATGATATCAATTACTGAAGTGTGCTACACATGTTTACAATGTTAAACATGTTTAGTACTAAACACCAGAGTGATGTAGACCGTTGGATAGATTCAATTGAATGGATGAGATCTGTTGGATCTCCGCAACTTGCTTTTTTATTGGTATATAGATATAGATTGCTTAGTCTTCGTCAAGTGACAGTTTGTTGTGTTAGAATAAAATTGCGCCAGTTTTTGTGGTGGTGCTATGTGTCCTCATGGATCTGATTATTTGGATATGATGAGTTTCTTTTTGATCTGGATATGATGAGTTTTATGTGTTATATTGTTTTTGTTAGTTTGACTTTTTTTGGAGTTGAAATTTTTCCTCAATGTTACAGTGAAGATTTTGTGGTTTGAAGATTTGCGCTTTTAGGGGTTCATCCACGGCTTGAGTACGTTCATCGCTCATCGTTTTTCTATCTTCTTGGACGAGCGACTCAAGGGGCTTCCAGAGTCCTTTGTTGCTAATCAAGTTCGTGAAGGGGGAGAGTGACGATATCACCACTTCAGTCCAACTGTAATCTCTTTAGTGAACTCTTGGGTTTTGTCTTATAAAGATTGATATTACTAAGATGTCTCCATGAATCTTTTTTTAATTCTTGGCAGGAGTTGTAGTTTCTTGTATTATGGATCCAAAGCAGTATACCTATAATGATTACGAGTATTATTAAAGCTACATGTGTTTCTTTATTTTTGACAAATAACCCTCTTAATAAGGCACTAGTAGATTGGTGGGCGTCTTTTCACCTACCTTCACAGCCGTCGGATGGATATCCATGTCTCTGCGTGAAATCGACCAGTTTCATTCCACATCACCGCGAGTCACACTGAGCTTCCACCATAGCTAGTGTTGAATCCGCTGACGTGATTGTAGAAGCCAACGGGGAACCATCAGTGCACCCTTTTTAGTTTTTTTGACGGGAAGGCTTTGATGGGTAGCTTTATATTGAACTTAAATACTTACATGATCTTTTTTTTCATGGTAATACGTGTCTCATTTATTTATATCATAAGGATCATAATACAAGCCATGTACATAACGAGCCGATAAAAATAAAAAGACGACAAAATGCTAAGAATTCTCTGAGCTTGACACCAACGCGCTCACCTACCTCTGACACCACTACAACAGTCACCAAAGCAAAATATGATGGATTTTGAGCAGGTTTAGACCATTTAACATTAGGTACACTAGTCGCACTTCTAGATCCAGCATAATTGGCCATCATCGCATGTATGGCGAGTGCTGTTTTGGAAGAAATGATCACACCTTCGTCCTTCACAGCTTCCTTTCTCTGCCATCAGATGCACCAAGCTCCAACGAAGATAGACTTTTGGAAGTCAAGATGCTGTAGTGTGGTTGAATTATGCCTTTTATCTCTATGGATATTCTTAAGCACGACACTACCAGATCTGTCTGAAACAAGGGCATGGGTGATCGTTTTCTGAAGACCCAAAACTTTCCACACTTCTTTAGCTCGCAAGTCTTCAGCTTCGTTTTTGAACTCAGACTTGATTGAATAAACGAAAGGCAACAATTCCAACTAAAAAAAGCGAAATCCCGCTTAGGCCCTTAAAATTACCAACAATCAGCATTTATCCAATGGTCGCCATCGCCACCTCCTTCTCCGCCGCCGCCGCCGTCGCCGTCGCCCGCCGGAGCTCCCCGGCTCACCTCCAGCTCGTCGCTCGCCGCCGCCTCCCGTTCTGCACCGCTGCCTCCTCTTCCTCCGCGCCACCTGCTGCTGCGGCGGGCTTTGGGTGGGCCGACGCCCTCCGAGTTGCCAGCGAATTCGGGGTCGGCGATGAGTCCGACCTTTCGGGGTACTTCCGGAAGGTCGACATCTGCAACCGAGGAATGGTAGGTTTCCCCTTTGCGTTCTACCATTCTCACAACTGCGCTGGCGGGTGTATGTGAAATTGTCTCAGGTGTGGGATGCGCGGATTTGTTTGGGTTTTGCAGGGTGATAAGGGGGAGTTTGTGGAGTTCATGGTTGAGGATCAAGTGGTGGGATACATCCACAAGGGGTGAGTGTAGCGGGATCAACATCTGCTCTTTAGTTTTCTCTGTGTAACATCTACTCCGAGAACAAATTTTATCGAGGAAACAATAGTGGAGCAACACTCGCCTGCAGACAAGTTGAACAATAATATGTGTGTTCCTTCTTGTGTTATCCCAAATCCTGTGATTTGTTCTCCTGTATTTTCATAAAGGCCTCCGGGCCTCTGCACCGAAAAATGCAAACAACTGCAAAAGTTTACAAACAAAATAAGCATCCTCTGATTTGTGCAAGGAGCTTCTCGTTGACTTAACTCCATGTTGGTGTATAATCCTCGTGTATATAGAAGAAAATTGGTGTTAATCCTTCTGTAAGCATATCGGTATTGGTGCTTACAATTTGCAACAGCTGATTGTTGACCCTGTTTATTTGTACTGAATGAATTGCTGTGATTTGCCAAAATTTGATGCCCACTATGTGCAATTCAAGTTGATTCCGTATGGAGTGCAAATTGTAAAATTACTCTATGAAATATCTTGTCATTTTCCAGTATAATGTAAAATTATAGTCAAGGAAATTCCACTGGAATGCATGATTCCCAGTACATATACACTTTCTATTAGTTTCAAGATTTGTTGTTGAAGTAACATGTCAGGCTTTACTAATATTTAGACACTGATTTTTCCCCCAGTACCTTAATTTTTAATTTCTTTAATAAAGTAAATCATTTGAAGAGAAAGCAATCATAGATTAAACATGATAAGATGAACAGAGCTTGCATTTCTTAGCCATGAGTGTTCAGATTGGTCAAGCAGAAGTCTATGAGGATATTGAAATACTTGTCATAGTCACGTCATTGTGATTTAGGATCTATGAGATGTTTAACTTTGTGGTATTAATTTCAGTTTTACCGAACATCTGAGGGACTTCCATGATGTTTTTACCATTGTCTCGGGCAACAATGGCAAGAACAGTGTGGACCACGTGACTCTCCACTCATCGCTCAGGACTCCAGAAGATCGAACAATCGCCATCGGAGATGTCATAAAAGGCCTAGGGGAACTCATTTCTGGTATACGAAATGAGGTACTGGCCAGAATTGTATATATGAATTATTCTATGAACTTCATTCGAAATTGCACATCTGCCGATTTAGTCAAATTTAGACAACTTCATGATTCCATTAGTGTAGCTAAATGGATAAACTAGTAAGGTGCGCGTGTGTTGTGACT